CACATATTAACAAAGAAAGGTGATGGAGATTATATGCAAACAAGAAATGGTTTGACAAACAGAGGTATGGATTTGTAGACCACGAGAGCCCATCATTAAAGCTGATACGGGATGCTTCGGCTCAGCGGTGACAGGGTGTACATATCAGTTAATGTGAGATTTCCAACACGCACCCCATAGCAGCTCAACCGTGAGGAACATGAGTCACTGTTCTACTAAAGGCAAATCCAAGTTTAAGACCATGTTAAAATCAGAGGAAAGCAAGGACACTTGCGTGTCACGGTATAGCGATCAGACATAGAGCGATATATGGCAGGAGACCGAGGCACGATCCAGACGCTGGTTAGAGCACACCGCCAGGCTTTGCCGGGAGTGGGACTGTTTGCTTGCAAAATCCGCGTGTGACTTGGGATTTTAATCTTCATAACAGTCCCTTGAATTCCATGAAGTGGTATTTTGGAGTGGGTCCTTTTGGAATCCAGCAGTCTGTTTACCAAAGCGTTCTTTTTTGTAACTTACAATTCCATGACACCCTACAGAAATAATTCTTCAAAAATAGATCCAAGTTGGCTGTTACCCTGCCTTCCTCTCCTGGCTGCTATTTTACACTCTGGCGGCGCACAAACACAGCTTCCTCTTGTGATCTGGAAGTTTGTTTTTGTAAAAAGTCCCTGGTACAGTCATACTTCCTGCAGTGATTTGTTTTAATACGACATCCTTACTCTTAAGATTTGATTGCAGATGAAAAATATAGTTAAATTACAGTGAATGAAAAACAAAAGCATTTCTTTGAACTCCTCTCCAAACACCTTCTTGGAAGCTCTTTACTTTGTAAACAGTATGAAGGACATTTGCAATAGTGGCAATAGTAGTTACAATAAGCCAAAGAGATCACATTTCTTAGCTCAGAGTCAACAACTTGTGACTTTTTTTTTAGGAAATAGGTACTCTATAATCAATTGTAATAGCTCCATTGGAGTCTAATTTTGAGGGGCTTCTACCCTTAACTTGAGTATTTTTGGATATCTTAAGGGAGTGGGAAGGCTTGATACTAGGTAAGATTTGACCTCAGATAAAGATCACAGTGGAGCACTCCATCATGAAATGAGAGTTGCTAAGCAACAACCTTGGTGATGGACTTTCAGGGTGACTCCTTCATCTTTGGTTTTGCCCATCCACTGCTGGTCAGGACCACAAAACCCTTGGCCTGATTCTCCAACAGGGGGTTGGGAATGAGGGCTCCGGCACGCCACGTGGAGGAGGGCTCTGAGCCCAACACTAGAGGCTTCTCCTTGATGGACGGGCTCAAATAGCGGCCTGCTCTATGCTGCACAGACTGTATCAAAGGCCCCCAGTGATTGGTTGACATTTATTTTACTAATTGAGCAAGCCAAGAAAAAATTTTTTTGGAATACCCCCTTTCTCTACTACCAGCTGTATGAAAGCCGTAGCTTCTAAAGGAAGGGACATTTCTTCTTTGCTCTTCTAGAGAAGAGCATAGTTTGGGATTCTGTGAATACTTTCTGTAAGGTTGGCAGCATCAGCAAATAAGTATATAAGACATCCAGTTCCATGTGAAGGTTTATTTTCTAACTGCCTATGCAATTTTGTATTTATTGATAAAAATGAAGATAGGACATTTAGAACATCTCCATAAAGTCCACCAGAATGCAGTACAGGACGTGCCCTGCATACACAGCAAGCCTGGCATTCCTAATTCTGGGATTATAGTCAGAGTTATATGGCATTTACATACATATATGACATCTTTGGCTTCTATAAGCATGTATCAAAAATGATGTCCTGCCCAGCCGGCATGGCTCAATGGTTGAGCATCGACCTATGAACCAGAAGATCATGGTTCGATTCCCAGTCAGGGCACAGGCCCAGTTTGTGGGCTCAAGCCCTAGTGTGGGGCTTGCAGGAGGCAGCTGATCAATGATTCTCTCTTATCATTGATGTTTCTATCTCTCCGTCCCTCCCACTTCCTCTCTGAAATCAATAAAAATATATTTTAAAAAATGACGTCCTTATCTTACACAATCAATTCTTGTAATTTTATTAGGAATTACCCATCACTTCTAATCAAGAGCTTTTTCTTGGTCTTCTATGTTTATACACCAGCAACATAGCAATTGGAAAAAAAAATTCCTGTCCCCAATTTTTGGGCATCTACCGTAAACATCCAAGGATTATGATTTTGGATTGATTATTTTGAACCCACAGGATTATCTGACTTGATGGAATGGACAGCCAGGATAGAACAGCCAACTCCCACAGATCAAGCTGAGGGGACACCAAGTCCCCCAGGAGACGGACAGAGGACGAGAATGAAGGGAAAGGGCTGAAGCCTTATTTCTGCCTCATGTTTTATTGTCAGTCAGCATTTAGTGGAAAAACTTTGGGGGGAAAATTGGACTTAATCCGTCAGTGTTTCTGAAAGACTGGGAAAACTGGTCCTCCTGGGAAGCCAGAGGATATAATGACAATCAGTTGTAATGTAAGATGAGTGGCCTAGCTTTGCCTGCAAAGAAGTTCTTGTCCGCTGGGAGAAGGGCTTACGTGAGAGGTGCTCAGTCAACCCCTAGCTTTCAGTTTTTATACTTTTCTCAGTGCCTTCCTTACTGGAAAGGCGAAGATTTTGTTTTAGATTCTTTTAAAAAAATGAGAACAACATAACAACAAGAAAAACAGTTTACTGACAAATACCAATGCCTCAAGAAGTTAACTCTTTTGTTCTTTAAAATCTCAATTAGGTTCTCACATATCATTTCATTGGACATTCTAACTGTGCAGACTCTCAGCTCTGCTCTGAGGCCCTTCAGGCTGAGAACCAATACCCACCACTCACTGCGGCCCACAGGCCCGAGGTTTGGTTGATTGGCAGGTCATTCTGATTAAAGATAAACTGAAATTTACAAAGGGCAACATGTGTGCAGTTAACCCATTAGAAGTGAAATGTTAAGCTTTGGACCTTCAAGTGTACGTCTTCCCAGGGGAAGAACATCAATTGCGCCTTGGACCTACCCAGGGTCAAGTGCGGGAAGTTGGTGCGCACTCAGAGCTTGAAAACCAAGACTGCAAATATTGATGCCTCTCACTAAAGAGTCCCATCCCACGGAGCTATGATGAGATAACCTGGATTCAAAACTAGTTGTTTCAAAGGAGAGCGGAGATTGAGAGACTGGAAGTCTCCCTTATGCCACGTGATCAAAATGTCTGACCCTTAGACCTTGGTGACAAGGTAGTGAAAGAAGGCCAGGGTGAGATGATCTTTACTGAGCTACCAGTGCAAAGGCCCTGCGCCTTCTTTGCCTTGCTTTTCTATTTCCTCCTTCCTCCAGGTGATATAAGAGGACTGAGGATCTAAGCAAGGGAGAAAGGATCATCCTGTAATAGAAGCGTCACATGTCTCTACACCTTACTTTACATTTCAGTGATAGCGAAATCACAGTCAATTAAAAATTAAAAATTTAATTCAATGGGTTGTGTAAATGCAACTAAACATCTGGTCCACTCACTGATGGTAACTCCCCCTTTTGGACCAGCTATTTCAATTTCTGGTCTCCTCTCTGAGCTGTAACATCCCCATGAGTGGGGAAGGGCACCCCTGGGTGCCTCCACCCCCATCCCAACGGCGGCCCACTGTGAGGGCCAATGAATGAAACTTTGCTATGCTTCTGGGACCACTGGCTGCTGGGTACCATGTAAGTATAACACATCTTATTTCTGAAATAAGACATGGCTTTGTGGTTTCTCTGATGGAACACGGCATTTTTGAATGGTCTCACTGAGAAGGCCTGGTGCATTGGAAATCCTTCAAAACGCAAAAGCCTTTTTGGGTCAAAAACACTCCATTAGTTTGACTTCTTCTTAATTGGAGGGTCAAGCGTGAATCTCTTTCAGTCAGAAGACTGTTCACATAGAATCAGTTTGCCATCCAAATCCTTTTTTGTTAGCATGTCAACATTAGAGTGTTTCGTAGAAAGTAATAATAAATATTACTGGAAAATGCTAAGTTTCAAACCAGCCACGACTTTAGACCTACGTATGAAAAACTACACTGTAATATCACTTATTGACTTCCGCGAGTATTGGCTTTTAAGACACTGCATATTTATTTTGCGTATAGTGCGAAAGATCAGATGATCAAGTCTTCCACATTTGGCTGAAGTAGATTGCTAAGTGAACATAAAAGAGATTTTTTGATCTTATGCTACATCATTGTACCATATACAATATAAGCAGGTAAGATTCCTAACCTTGATCACATTCCAAGTGACATTGATGGCAATACTGTGAGAAGAATTTACTTGTGCGACGGAAAATCTGTAAACATGCCCCTGGCATTATTCTTCTGCCAATTAGACCACAATATACAATAAAAAAATCACACATCACAACTAAAAGGGGTCAGATCTAACTACCTGTAATGTTTTTAAGATCTAAGACAATCTGCCATAAAATTATAACAGAAATAGAAGAAAACTTCCTGAATAATAAGACAAAAGCTCTTGTGCATTGAGATTGTTCTTTGAAGCTTTAAGACTTTACCCCCATTATTCTGGCCCTGCATTCGATGGGCTGCTCCAGGTCAGTGGCGTTAGCCACATTTTCTGTTAAAGGACATTTGAAATCTGGTAACATCAAGAGACGACCACCCTTGCTGTGGTCCACATCACCATTTCACCGACAATCTGAATCCCACCACTTTCCCCATTTCCTCCAAGTCCCAGTGTTCCCCATCTTAGAGAACAAAATTTTAACTGCAAATGTCTTTCATTGATAATTTCCACCATCATGTTTCAAGAGCTAGGGTGTGCGTCCCTGTGTGTGTGTGTGTGTGTGTGTGTGTGTGTGCGCACGCGCGCGAGCGTGCGCACGTGTGTGATGTATCTGTGTGTGTGTGTGTGTGTGTGCTCGCGCGCGTGCGCACGTGTGTGGTGTATTGCGTGCATGTGTGTGCCTGTGTCTGTGTTGTTTGCATGCCTGTGCTTATGTATGAATGTGTGTATACATATGTGGCTTACATGTAGGTCCACCTACACACTTATAGTCACATTTTTCTTGAGGGAATATGCAAATTCATCGCGTTTCGAATGAAGTGAGAATTCACCTTGCGCACATTTAGCCAATCGTAGCCCATATTTTCTCTACCCCAAAGAAATGCAGGGTGCCTGGTCCCCAAATTCTGCCAAAGGCAAATGTTACCTCTGTAACACTGAGTTGCACAAGCTTTGTTTAAATGCTGAGGACATTCTTGACATGTTATCAAATTATCAAATGTTGTTCATGCTTCAAGGAGTGGCCTGTGTATGAATTATTTATCCTCAGCCACTCTCCTTCCTCATGGCTCCATCAGACCTACTAGATTTCAACATCTGAGCAAAGTTCTGACCATGGCCCAGCTTAATTTTCCTCTGGTTCTAACCATCATTGACAACCAGGTACTTAGCGTGAATGAGGTGACCATTACCTGCAAGAGTTTGATTTTGCTCTTGGACTGTCAGTGACCCTTCCCCTGTGGACAAGGTGTTTTACTAGATCAGGAAAGAAGTGGCTGAAAGGAAGCTTGGTGCACAATGAAGAACCGAAGGAAGGACAGATCTGGAGGCCACGTGGACAGGGGACCCTCACTGTCCCGCAGCTTCCGAGGTTACTCTGAATGCACTGCCCAGAGAGGAGCTTTTCAAACTCAAGTGTGCGTGAGTCCCATGGGGGTGTGGGGACCATACAGACTCTGGTTCTCTAAGTGGGGCAGGGCCTGGGCCTCTATGTGGCTAATAAGTTCTCAAGGGGCGGATGCTGCTGGCCTGGGAGCCACATGTTGAATAGGAAGGGGCTAGTACATTCCAGCAAAAATTAGTGCGGACAACAGCCTCAGTTCCATTTGTACATGTTTTCACAACTGTTAATTCCTGAGGGACCAATTTCACGCTGCACAATTAAATCCACTGGGAAAAGGCAGAAATGGAATTATTACATTTTGTGAGGACAGACTCCCCCTGCTCCATTTGTTGTATTAACAGATAGCCTCCAGAACATTACTATTTTCTCTGCTCGAAAAGAGTTTAAACCATGATGTGAGTGAACACTGAGCCACATTTCAAGGCCACAATGCTTTTGATATCGGATTGCATAAATACCTTATATTACGCTCCCCCTGCTCCATTTGTTGTATTAACAGATAGCCTCTAGAACATATACCATTTTCTCTGCTTAAAAAGAGTTTAAACCATGATGTGAGTGAACACTGAACCACATTTCAAGGCCACAATGCCTTTGATATCGGATTGCATAAATACCTTATATTACAGCTGATAGCCTTATAGAGAAATGCCTTCCCTTCACTCTCAGCATGCTGACTGTCTGTCCATCCTGCAGGACATGTTTGCAATCGCCCTACACCAAGTCCTGCCAAATGTAGCCCCATCTTAGAAAATCTGAACTTTGGGAATTTGCTTCAGACAAAGCATTTAAACAAGGAACCCTCTCGAAGGTGGAGATTCTTGTTGAGCCACCAGATCAAAGGAGAAGATGGATTTAGCACATCTGTGCAGTGTTTTTAGAATGCATCCACACATTTTTGTTCGAAGTAGCTCGGATGTGGAAATGGCCGCAGAGTCAACTGAGGCCAGGGCACCGCCATCAGACATTGCTCTGTTGTAACAGGAGAGTCCGCAGTTCTCTCTCCCGCTGGTCCTCCTGCCTGTACTTCTCCTCCAGTTTCTGCTTCTCGGAATCTGCGCAGTAAAACGTGCAATCGGAACTCTTCCGGATCTGCTCGAACTGACTGAAGTCAGCCACGTACTTCCCGTTCTTGGAGAGAGAAACCACGGGCACGAACTCAAAGCCCCAGTAGATCTCCTCTGGGATGTAAGACGTGCGGCTCTGGCAGACGGCGCTGGTGGACTCCACGGTGGCATTGAGGAGCACCACGAGCTCAAAGTCCTTCTCCTTCAGGTTCTGGGGTGTGAGATCTCTCAGGGGGCTGGTCTCATCCAGCACGTGGTAGAAGGTCAAGGGCAAAATGAGGAAGGGGCTCTCGGAAGAGGAGTCCACGTGGAATTTGACGGAGGCCTGGTTGAGGAGGATCCGCTCGCCCTCCTTGGTGACGTGGGTCTGCAGGAGCTTGCCGGAGAGCTGGCACTGGATCAGGAGGCTCTTGCGCATGTTGGCCACCTGGATCACCAGGCACAGCTTCCCGTTCTGCTTGGTGATGACCGCGCAGTGGCTGAACTTGATGGTCTCCGCCCGCTTCTTGGGTCTGGCGATTTTGGCCAGGAAGGTGCCCGTGATGAAGATCTCAATCAAGGTGGTGATGACCAGCTGAGCGACCAGCAGGAAGATGGCGTGAGGGCACTCCTCCGTGATGGAGCGGACGCCGTAGCCGATGGTGGTCTGGGACTCCAGGGAGAAGAGAAACGCCCCCGTGAGGGAGTCCACCTTCATGATGCAGGGGGTGTGGTTAGAAATGGGCTCGCCGGGTTCTAGGTCCCCGTGAATGAACGCGATGGCGTAGTAGATCACCCCGAAAAGGAACCAGGTCATGACGAACGTGGCCGCGAACAGGGTGAGTTTGTACCTCCACTTCATGTCGATCACGGTCGTCCACAGGTCTTGAAGGTAGAGTAAGTATATGCCGTCCACCTTGTCGATTCTCACGTTGCTGTGCCCGCTCTTGGACATGACGCGGGGCCTGTCCGAGTGCCTCACCAGGGGCGCGCTGGACATGCTGAGGTGCACTGGGTCCATGCTCAGCCTCTTGGGACCACCTGAGGAGGCGACAAAGAGACGTTTTATCACTGTCACAGTGGCAGACTGCCCAGAAGATAGAACCAGGGTAAACAGGTGGCGTGACTATGAAAGCATGTGGATGGGCAGAAGAAAGGAGACTTCTGCAGGCAAGACTAATCCACTCGGACTTGAGGAAGGCAGTGGGGTGAGGTGAGGAGCCCTGGAGACAAGCAAACCTGGGTTAAATGCGGACTCTCCCAGTTATCCGCTGTGTGAGCCGGGACAAGCTACTAACCTCTCTGGACCTCAGCTCTCTGATCTGTAAAATGAGAATAAAGCCTAGTCTTTAGGGTTTTGTGATGGTTAAATGAGATAGTGCTATAAAGAACCAAAACCGAGCCCCCCCCCTCCCCCCCCGTTAAAATACGATGCTAATCGTCCCTTTGAATACCATACTTGCATGCATCTACCCCACAGAGTGTTAGGAATGCTTATGTATATCCAGCTACCATAATATCCAATTGTAGAGAATTTAAAAATAAGTTGACTAAGCATAGGGTCAGTATAGATATAACTAAAATTTACCATCCACAGATAGTTCTTGATAAGTGATAGAGAATACGAATACACATTTTTAAAACTTGTAATAAAAATATTTAAAACTTACCCTTTTGCATGATATTCCCTATAATAGCTATTTATCCCCCCCCCCCAATCTAACAAATACTTTAGAATCCATGACCTCCCCTAGTCTTGATTACATCGGAAAAGACTAAGTTATCACCAACCCCAAACAAACACGTAGTGAATAATTAAGCTTGACGAATAGCTTAATCGATATGCTGGTTAATCTTAGCAGTGCTATCAATATCTCATATCAAGTATGGCATTCCGGTGTGGCACGCACATTCTGCCTTACTTCTTTAGAACTAAGCAGAACCAGCGCAGGGATGCACTCTAAAGAGTTAAAGAACAAGTAAACACGCGCAGGATGGAACAGTGGGGCCAGCAGACCTACCAGGAAGAAAGCTGGGCTCCCACGCTGCTTGCTGGTTCACAGACAGGGACACGCTGGGTGTGAGGCCACCCAGCATCTTATAGTACCTGCCTGGTGACTGAGATGAGTCACCCCTACATTCCTTGAAAAGATAATGGGAGTGATTAGGGGGAACTCTACCTGGCCGGCATGTTTATTTTTCCCACCCCAAATGGCATTTTTAAAAAAATTCTAAAAATCCCTGTGATAAAAAGGAACTGGTATGCAGCGGTCTGTGATTCATGCAATAATCTTGCTTTAGAGCAGCAGGACCTCAATAGGGGGTTTGAAAATAATCCTCAGCAAATCCCTCCAAGGAAAGTGAAACTGTATCCACCCCAGGCGGACACGTGGGGATGCAGGGGACTGTGGGCTCTTAATGTTCCTGTTCCTTTAGCAAGAGGTGTCATTTACTGATTGTCCCCTGGAATGATCTTTCTTTTTTCTTGGAAAGGAAAGTCATTTTCTCTTTTTTCCATTGCAAAGAAGGGCCATGAGCTATTCAGAAGTTATTTTACCCACCGAAGCCTATTCCACTTATTGGGGATCCATTTAAAAGAAACGCACAAGGTCTAATGGGTGAGCCTGGGTCTAGGGGGCCCGCCAGCTTCACGTCTCCGTGGCCACCGGGAACGGGACCAGGGGGAACGTTTGGAAGCGAGGCCGTGCTGGCGTGCCCAAGTGCACCGTCAAGCTCAGAACTCCTGCTTCGCAGAGACAAGTAACTGCATGCACTTAAAAAAAAAAAAAAAAACCTGCCGGGGAAAGTGCATGCCATCCCAGCCACTGCAATCAAAACGGAGGCTGCAGTTTTGGAGCGTGAGTGATACACAGGGTCCTGCGGGCACAAGCAGCTACTGGAAAACTTGGCTGGGTGTGTGAAGGCTGTGCCGCGAAGCTCCTGCCTTAAACTCTCCCACAGGGGCAGCGGGCCAGCCTGGGAAGAGCTGCATCCGCTTCCTCAGCCCTGTTCCTGCAGGCCTGGGTCAGCGCTAATGACTCCAGCAGCGCCTCCTAGCAGAGCCGGGGAGCGTGGCCTGGGGAGGAAGACCCGGAGCCTCTGGGTCTTGGCTTTAGCATCTCTCCGTGGAAAAGAGCAGCTGGTGGACAGCACTCAAAGGGAGGCGCCTTCTGCCTCCCTCGCTGCACCCCGTGCCCCCAGCGCTGCTTGCTGCCTGGTCACTTACTCAGCAGGTCAGAAGCCGTCTTCTTCAAGGCGGGCGCACCGTCCTGGCTCCCCTTCGCCCACCTGGCTACCATGGGGTGCTGCTCCTGCCTGGAAGAGAGAGGGACACATGGGGTTCACAGGTGTTTACAAAGAAACTGACCCTTAACACTCCCCCTCCCCCCTCCTCAAGGGCTGGGGCCTAGCATTCATCTCCAACCCCTGGCCGTCTGGCATGGTGCCAGGGCACAGGCTCAGGAGTGTTTAAGGATTAAAGTGCAGCCCCAAGCCCAGCCCTCAGGAGGGAATTCTCACCCTCCGGAGGGAGTTCCACCGTAAAGCCCCCTGGAAAGAGGGTGAACTGGCCCCCATTGAGGCCCACTGTCCACTGGCCCGCGGGCAGGAGGCAGGAAGGGGAAGTGCGGAGGAAGTAAACACTGCGGACTGAAGGGAAGAGTCTAGAATATTTTTACCGCCTGTGGAAACGCATTCTTATTGTTGAGTCACAGGCCATCAGAGTTGAAAGGACTGTCAAAACCTAGGCATCTGACACCCATTTTGCAAGCGAGGTGGCTGAGACCTGGGAGGTGGCACACACCCGCCTTCCTCACACAGACGGTTCACGGCAGGAAGAATGAGGCCAGAGTTCTTAAGCCTCAGCCGCCAGCGTTGAATGTGATCGGTTTCAATTCAACAGGTTCTGTTACCTCCTGCTTTTCTGAAATGCCTCTTCCTGAGCCACACACACACACACTCGCACACACACACACACACACACACACTCGCACACACTTCTTATCCGTCTTACACAAAGAAGGGTACATACACTTCATGCTTCCTTTCTAATCCACCAATTATTGTAAATAATTGCAATAGTTACTCTTTTATCATTAAGAGGTCCCAGCTACCAACCTGTGTAGCCCCTTCTACCCGCAGCTCTCCCGGGTGTTTGTGAGTTTTGGCAAATGACCTCTTTCTCCGTCATCCCTCTGTGGGGGTCCAGCAGCAACCTCACTCGAATGCCTGCTTTATCACTTACACTTTATCAGATGCTTTTTTTTTTTTAAAGAAAAATAGATTTTTATTGATTTCAGAGAGGAAGGAAGAGGGAGAGATAGAAACAGCTGCCTCCTGCACGCCCCCTGCTGGGAATCGAGCCTATCATAAATGATTAGATTTCTCTCCTATTGCAGGGAAACCTGGCAGATGAGAGAATTCGTGTACAGTGGGGCCTTGACTTACCAGTGTCCCGACTAATGAGTTTTTTGAGATACCAGCTGTCTCTCGGCCAAATTTTTGCATTGAGTTGATAGAGTAATTTGAGTTAACGAGCTCCTTAACGAGCTCGGTCTCCGAACGAATTAAACTCGTAAGTCAAGGCCCCACTGTATTTTATTCCTTCTCAGGAGGAGGGAACTGAGGCACAAGCAGGCTAAGTGAATCACCCAAATTCTCCGCAGCTGGCAGGCGACAGCAGCCCTTCGGAGGCACCTGCGCCCATGCTGGCCTCCACCTGACACAGGTGCTCAAGCTTAGCGGCCTCAGAACCGCCTGCAAGGCTCGGAGTTTCTGATTCAGTAAGTCTGGGTGGAGCCCAAGAATTTGCATGTCTGACTCGTGGCTCCGGGAACACAGGTGGAGAACCACCAGGCCGTGACATACAGGTAAGTGCTACCCTCCACTCCCCCCACCCCCACCGCCTCTTGGCATTCTCAGATAAGACTATCGCACACAGGCAAGGCACGCACCTGTTGATTAGTTTCCAGAATGTCCAATCTATACCATCTTTCCAGGTGAATGCCAGCTACTGAGTGGACCAGTGCTAGGTATTAACTTTTTAGAGTATTAATGTGTGTTTTTTTCCTAGTTAGTGCAACACTGAGACCTTCTAAAAACCTAGAGCCCTGTTGAGTCCAGGTTTGGAAGTTTTCCATTTGCCCGTGCTGGGAAAACTTCTTTCCGTGTTCCGGGGGGGGGGGGGGGGGCAACAAGGCCTTTGATCCTGCAGAAACATGACCAAATGAAAGTTGGGGAGGCAGCAGGTTCCCAAATCTGGACTTTCTCCCACCTCAGGGAGTCCTTCTCTGTCCCTTCAGTGAGGTGGTGGGTATGGAGGAGTGAACCCCAGCTCGAACTGTAACTTTGGCTTTAATCAAAATTTGATGGGAATTTGACTTTAAATCTTTAGCAAAACAGCTTCCTGTTAGTAAGAAAAGTTGCTCAAAAACTCAAAAACCTTTCTTGGATGTTGAATATTATTGACAAAACAATTTTTTGGTGATCTCTTTCTTTTTCCTTTGTTTTTTTTGCTATGAATCCAAAATACCTGGATTAAATTTCGCTTTAAAGGCACACGGGTTTAAATATTAAGTAGGCAAAGAAATGCTTGACAGGAGGTTCACTGGACTCAGAAGGTTTAAAAGTAATTGACAATAAAATCAGTGAGGCTTAGCTATCCTCCCTTTGGATCCTGGGACCGTGGCCGCACGGCACACGGGACCTCTGGCACTGGCCTCCTGCCATGGTCCCCTGCTCCTCCCCGCCGTCCAGGACGTGCTTCAGTGGCTGGTCTGACTGTTCTCAGTCCACTTCTTAATTCCGCCCATCTCCGCCGAGGACACGGATGGCTGTGCTCAGGTGGCCTTGGAAATGAACATACTCAGTAAAAAAGGATGAGGTGGCCAAAGTTGACTCTCAGCGGATTCCCAAGGGCGGCCTCTGGTCCTTGTCTGCAGGGAAATGACTCTTTCCTCCTGGAGCCCCATTCCCTCCCTCGGGCCCGGAGGACTGGGGATGGCCAGCCGGAAGGGTGGCAGCTCCTGGGCAGCTGGGGAATCGGCCATGGTACCTCAGAGAATCACACTGCCATTGGGGGAAGAACTAGCTGAGATTATGGCACATTCATTGTAAAAACACCAGGCAGGGATGATGACTAAATCTCAAGCCCTGTCAAGACACAAACCAGACCTCTTTGGAATTTCTTTGTTCCCCTCTTGCCCTCCTGCATGTAACCCCTCCCTTATGTGTGATTTTTGCCTATAAATATCTGAAAAACTCTTTGTTCAGGGCCCAACTCCTCTGCTCCTGCGTGAGTTACGAGTTGAGCCCCAGCGCGCTGGAATAAAGCCTCTTGCTGTTTGCATCAAGTGACGTCTCCTGCGGTTGATTGGGGTCGCCGTCGATCTGCGGGACAGAGTGAGGGTCCTTCTTCGGGGTCTCACATCATGACCCCATTTCCTCTGTCCTAACGACCTTGGTCTTGAAGATATGAACTGGGATCTAACTCGAAGAGCTGCGGTCATTGCTGTCATTGCTCTTTGTTTGTTGCTGCCAGTTATTGGCCACCAGCATTTGTCCATAGAATCCCTCCCTGGGCTTGTCCCTGCAGGGGAGTGTGTTTTCACCCATGTGTCCCATGTGGTCATGTGACCGTTTTGGCCAATGGTGTGTGAGGCGGGGTGACTGGGGCCACACCTGGACAGAGGGACGTAGCACGGTCTTGGATGAGGCGCGGGTTGGGCTATACCTTCTATGGGGACCAGGAGGAGGGACACTTGGAGCCAAGCTATAGCTGAACCAAAGCTGACTCATAAGATGGTGAGAAAAACTTCTGTTGCCACAAGCCATTGAATTCTTGGAATTGTCACCGAGACAAAACCCAGTGAATGCCTGATTACAGACACCCTTTCTACAGATTTTGTGCTGTAGGGTGATGGGCTTGACCTACAAGGTCCTGTGCTTAAAGAAACATGTAAAGCCTTCGGCTATCCTTAATGTAAACTCTAAATCTCGGTCTGTGACAAAACACGGAATAGAAAAAATCCAAATGAACAAGA